AGATTTTTCTCTCTGCCTCTCCTTCTCTTTGTAAATCTAGTCTGCCTTTCCAATTAATAATAATAACAACAACAACAACAATACATTGAAACCTCTTATTAACATCCCTGGCATATTGCTTCCCAGTAAATGTTAGCTATTTTTATGTGAACAGTATCTACTGAGCATTCACAATGTTCCAGGCACAGTTCTAGTCCTGGGGGGATTGTTAGTGAGTCAAACAGACAAAAGCGTCCACAGGTAGAGGTGAGAGTAAGGACACTCGATAATGGTGTAATGAAATTATCAATAACTGGCCAGTGGCCACCTCCTCCTCTGAGCTCTCTGGAACTTTCCTAAATCCTTCTGTTCCCCTGTGTGCCTTCATGGACTCCTGGTTAGCCCTGACAGCGTGATTTCTCTTAGAGCTCTCCCAACTAGGGTTGCTTTCTCACTGCTATACACTCTGGAGCTTCAAGACAGGGACCCTGGGTTCCTGGCTTCCCATTGCTGCTTTGCAAACCTGCTTCTTTCTCTGAGAACCCCGATGTGTGCATGCTCACTCCTTCAGACTATCCCACACTTCTCTCACCTTGTTGCCGTGATTGATGACTGTACTTGTTTACCACAACCCTGAGCACCCGCCTCACTCTCGTCCCTTTCACTCCTGTTTTTGTTGTTATTTTTGCTGACTTTGACATCCTTTTTGTTGGGTTTCCTGTCTACCTTTCTTCCAATGACCTGTCCTTCTCTCGCCTCAGAACTTAAAATATATTTTCCAGTTCATATCTTTTCAGATGTTACTCCTCCACCACTTCCTCAGTGCTCTTCCAAAATTTCTGCTACATATGAAATAAAACTTCTTGAATTTTCCTCAGTGCCCTTAACTCTGACTTTGTAGCACTCTTCAGTGAGTTCCTTAATACTAACTTTCCCATTCACTAATCCCTTCTTCACCTGCATCCTGTCTAGAATTTATCCTATCTATATGTTTTGCCTCTCTAATTGGTTCTTTTTAAATATTTTCCAATTCTTATTTAATTTCTGCCTGTTCTATTTTACAATTCCCTGTTTAAAAATAGATGCTATTCTCCTTTGAGTATTTAGACACGCTTAGTTTAAAGTCTTTATCAGATTGTTCTAGTATTTTAATGTCTCCTTGGACAAAATTCGTCTGACATGCTGATTTTGTTTTACTGCTATTTTTAGTTGCTGGATATCTTTGCTTGGTTGTTAATTTTCAAGAGTGAAGTCCTATTTCTTTCTCATGGTTTTCTATGCCAGAGTTTTTGTAGAGGTCTCTGGTTCAGAACCAAGAGGTGGTTTGAGAACCCGCCAAGCTATCACGTTCATAATCTCTCTGTGAATAGTGAAAACATCCTAGTTTCTGGCTGCTGAGAAATGACTGCTTTCTTCCTTCTCCATAGCCTGCAGTTGTGTGGATGCCATGGAGGCAGGTAGAGTCAGTCACAGCTTTTTTTTCAAACTTCTTTCCTTTGTGAGAAAGTTCCACGTCAATGTTTCACTTCAAGCAATGAGTCTAACTTCAGTAATTCCAACCACATACACAGGAGCCTCTTACCCTGCATCTGGATGTGGAATTGAATCAGCCACTGGCTTCATCCCACCTAGAGAAGGAAAATGTGACAAAAGCACAGTAGGGTTGAGAATTCTTTGAGAACTGGACTGACCGGGATACAATGGGTTGAGTTTCCACTTGCAATGCTGTCATCCTATATGGTTCAAGTCCTGACTGCTCCACTTATGATCCAATTTCCTGCTAATGCATCTGGGAAAGCAGGGGAATATGACTCAAGTGTTTGGGTCCCTGCACTCACATGGGAGACCTAGACAGAGTTCCAGTTTCCTAGCATCAGCTTGTCTGAGTGCCACCTGTTACGGCCAATTGTGAAGTGAACTGGCAGAAGATTGATCTTGCCCTGTCTCTCCAGCTGTGATTACATGGTCATTTTAAAAGGCAAATAATTGGTTCCAAATGAAACTGCGTGTACCAGGAGACTTGGCCACTGAATAAGGGCCCCTGACTCTGAGACTTTCTTCTTCCCTTCTTCCTGCTCATCATGTGTTCCTCCTGGCACTTACTGGCTGAGATGTTTAGCAATAAAAATTTTCACAGACTGACCGCAGGTTCTTATAAGAGATTGAGTAAAACTTCATTTAGCTTGTTTATGCTTTATGATTTATGTCCAACTTTCAAAGTATACTTGAGGTAGTTTACAATAAGAGATATGTACTAAGTTAGTTGAATAAGAAAGAGAAATAGCATCATAGAGGAGAAAGGGAGAAGTGTGCCAAAGACCTGAGTTAATTATTACAGTAATTGAACTTTAAATTTGTTCAAGGCTTCCTGGCAGCCAAAGTGAAAAAAAAACGACATGTGAAGTGTGATGACATTGTTCTTTCTGGCTACAGCTTTTCTCTTGAATCATCCAGGAAGGTTACGATGAACTAGAAATCATCAGAGGTCAGGCTACATGCAGACATGCTACATGCAAGAGAGGAAGGACTTGCTTGACTCATTGTATAGTGCAAATCTGACCTGAAAACAATGATCTGACAATTGAGATTCTTTGTGAAATGTCAGGTATAGGACATTTATTGCAAAGGGTTAGAAAATACCACGGAGCCAAAGGAAGAAAACACAAACATCTTCATGGTGCCACTGCTGAGAGGCGACCCAGCCTTCAGGCTCCTTGCAGACTTCTTGTCATGCACACCTGTTTCAGTTGGCTTCTTGTAGACTTCTCAAACTAGATGATTCTACCAATGTGGGCCTCAGTGTTTGTTTACATTCATATGTAAGCAAGTTCAAAAAGTTTCGTGGAGTCAAGGAGCTAAAACACACCTTTCCCGGGTACAAAAGAACTGTGGAAATACATGCATAGTTGTTTGCCTAATATGCATTTCCACAAACTTTTGGACCCACCCTTGTATTTAGAATAAACACAGCCCCGCTCCCATCAGCGCATGCCTGATGTATTGCACACACTCGTGCTGCTGCACCATGTGGCTCCGGGTCTTCCAAGATCAACAGGCACAAGGAAGATTTCCCTGTTTGCAAAGAGGTTATGCAATTTGTCTAAATCACACAGAGTGAAAGAAGGAGCAAAGTTTTCAGTCGCTGCATCCTGGGAGCATACACTCCTTAGCCAGGTGTGCGCGGTTACCCTGAGATGCAGGGGCTCCAAGAGAGAGACTTGGGACTCTTTTTGTCCTCACTGGAAGGGGGCGTGCCAGAGTCTGATGGTGGCACAGCTGGTTCCTGAGCCCTGAAAGACCAGCCTGGAAACCAATAGGAGCAGGGTCTTTCCCACACACTCTCCTTTCCTCATCTTCCCCACAGCTTAGGGATCAAGAAGACTAGGGGTCGAAGGCCAGCCCAGCCAGCTGCTGGGACAGGTTTCCCCTTGATGAAACTTTATCATGCAAGCCTCTTTCCTGCAGATCAAGTGAAAAGCCAAGGAAGCCAGCACTGTTGTGTGCAATGCCAGTGACCCTGAAGAATGCAGAGAAACACCAACGCGTGGCGTGCCTGCTGTGGATGGCAGTTGGAGCTAGCTGCAGATGGGACATTGTGCACAACTGCTCCCAATTCCCCTATTGGCCAAGTCACAGTAGTGTCCTGCAGTCGCCAGCGAGAGTCACCCCCCTCTGCACAGACCCAGGCTACCTGGTGCGCAGGGGCAAGGCGGCCACCACACCCACAAGGGCCAGCTGTGGTAGGTGAGCTTTGGTCTATACCCGTAGTGCCTTGGGCTGAAAATGAGCCAACCTTCTGCACTGCTCTTGGAGTCTTAAGACCTATACCCCAAAGAGCCACATCTGGATGCCAGACACCGCTGTTTGACCAGGCAGCGAGCTGAGTGGCTCTGGGCAGCAATGCCCCATGCCCACAGTTAGGCAGCAGTCGGAGAGAACGGGGCTGGGTTGCCAGCTAGTGTGAGTCAGCGGCCTAGGTGCTCTATCCCTTCCACTCTGCTTGCATAACTCTTAAACACAAGCTTTGTCTTCCCCAGCCATTACTCATCTGACTGTGGCCTACTTCCTGCAGGGGACATTCGTGGGAAGAAATATTTCAAAAGAGGTTGTCCCCACACTGTCCACCAGCAACTCCACCCAGGGCAAGAAAGGGTGGAGCTGGGAAGCAGCTCATTTTTCTGATGAACCAAGTACCTTGCCCCAAGGTAGGAGACTCAGTCAATAAGAACAAAAGCAAGGGCCTGGCTGGATAGCATAGCGGTTAAAGTCCTCGCCTTGAACAATCTGGGATCCAATCCCGGCAGCCCTGCTTCCCATCCAGCTCTCTGCCTGTGGCCTGGAAATGCAGTAGAGGACAGGAAGAAGCTCCAGGCTCCTGGCTTCAGATTGGCTCAGCTCCAGCCATTGTGGCCGCTTGGAGAGTGAACCATAGGACGGAATATCTTCCTCTCTGTCTCTCCTCCTCTCTGTATACCTGCCTTTCCAATAAAAATAAATAATTTTTTTTTTTAAAAAAAGAATAAAAGCAAAATAGGGAGCTACAACCAACACTTTTGTAGGCTTGAACGTGTGGTGGGCAGTTCTCAACCAGCTTGACATAACTCGAGCACTGCAGAATGTTCTAGGAAGATGAAATGAAGATTTTTAAAGATTTTATTTATTTTTTTACATATTTATTTATTTATTTACTTTGGAAAGTCAAATATACAGAGAGGAGAAGAGACAGAGAGGTAGATCTTCCACAAGCAGGGAGCTGGATGGGAAGCGGGGCTGCCGGGATTAGAACCGGTCCCCCTACGGAATCCCAGCACGTTCAAGGCGAGGATTTTAGCTGCTAGGTTTTTGTGCCGGGCCCTTCTTTATCTTTTTATATGGAAAGTAGTGCGCTTTCACAGAGAAGGAAAGGCAGGGAGAGATATTCTACTCTTTGGTTCATTATGCAAATGGCCACCACAGTCACGGGTATGGGCCAAGCCAAAACCAGGAGCTGGGAATGTCATCTTGGTCTCCCATGTTGGTGGCAGAAGTCCACGCACGTGGGCCACCCGCTGCTGTATTCCCAGGTGCATCAGCTGGAGCTGGAGCAGAACAGTGTGTGTGCGACTCGAACCCACAGTCTCACAAGGAAAGCTGGTGCTGCAATTGGCAGCTTAATCCGTTGTGCCACAATACTTCTTCTCTCCAAAATTCCCTTTGATGAAAAAACAAACAAACAACAGTTGAAATCCATACAGTTTGTCATACACATTTTGCATGTATATTTTTTAAGATTCCTGTAGACGTGGATTTCAACAATTTTTTCGCACCAAAGAAAATTACTTTTTAGTCCATTTTCCCACACAGTCTTTGAGATTGCTTCATGCAGTTCCCCATTCAACCAATAAGACAACTTGGGCACAGTGAGTTTCCAATGTCACAGATCTAGCAAGAGTCGGAGCCAGAACTCCAGGAAGTCCAGTGTATGAACCCAACTCCGAAGTCTGATGCGGATGCTCACACGGACGGAGCAGTAGAGAATGGAGAAAACCACACATCACAAGCATTTACAAGCATATAGTTGGAATGCATTTCCTTATCTTTTCTGGGTCCAGATGCTTGGGCCCTTGGCCCCCTCCCATCTGCAGAGCCAGCAAAGGCCCTGAGAGTTCTCACATCCCCGCCCCTCAGATTCTTCTTCCTGCCTTCTCTCTGTATATATCTGACTTTGCAATAAAAATAAAAAATTTCTTTTTAAAAAAAAAAAAAACACCTGTTATTACACTGGGCCTATCTAGATAGTTCAGGATACCTCGCTCCTCATTCTAAAATAAAATGACAGGTAATCTGAATTTTACCTGCTATCTTAATCCTCTCTCACCAGAAAGCAGCCACAGGCACCAGAGTTTGGGATATGGACATCTTTGAGCAGCTGTTTCTCTGCCCAATATGGTCCCCAGCCGGAGAGGCTGAGAGGCCCCTTTACTGCCCACTGCGCAGGGCCTGCTAAGCAGCCAGCAGTCTCTGCTGTGTGCTAAAGGAGTTGGTAGGGATCTGCTTCCAAGGGAATCTTAGGAAATCACAGGGTTGGATTTTAAAGAGCTACAGATGCACTTGTGTTCTTAAGAAAAAAAAAAACTTGTTTTTAAAAAATATTTATTTAGGGGCCCGGCGCGGTGGCGCAAGTGGTTAAAGGTCCTCGCCTTGCACGCCCGGGATCCCATGTGGGCGCCGGTTCTAGTCCCGGCAGCCCCGCTTCCCTTCCAGCTCCCTGCCTGTGGCCTGGGAAAGCAGTCGAGGACGGCCCAAGGCTTTGGGACCCTGCACCCGTGTGGGAGACCCGGAGGAGGCTCCTGGCTTCGGATTGGCATAGTATCGGCCCGTTGCGCTCACTTGGGGAGTGAATCATCGGACGGAAGATCTTCCTCTCTGTCTCTCCTCTCTGTATATCCGCCTTTCCAATGAAAAAATAATAAAAATAAATCTTTAAAAAAATAAAAAAAAAAAAAAAATATTTATTTAGGATTTATTTATTTGTATCAAAAAGGTAGAGCCACAGAGAGGGAGAGAGACAGACAGAAAAATTTTCATCCACTGTTTCACACCCCAAATGTCCACAATGGCCAGAGTTAAGCCGATCTGAAGCCAGGAGCCACGAGCTTCTTCTGGGTCTCTCATGTGGGTGCAGGGTCCCAAGGCCCTGGGCCATCCTCGGCTGCTTTCCCAGGCCACAGGCAGGGAGCTGGATGGGAAGTGGAGCAGCCGGGACTTGAACCTGCGCCCATGTGGAATACTGCACTTGGAGGTGAGGATTTAACCATCGAGCCAATGCGCCAGCCTCAAGCTCAAAATACAACGTGTCTGCTCCCTGTCAGAATCTAAAACGGGGTCAGACCTTTGACACAGACAGCCTGGAATCTTCCCTAGTGATCCCAAAGGACAACTTGTAAGAGAAAATGAGCATTCTTCACTGCCACCCAGCTCAAAAATCTCAGCAGCATTAATCAAAGGCATGCAAAAAAGCATTCCCTTCCCCCTCCTAAGGTTTATTTATTTCAAAGGCAAAAACAAGGATGAGAGCAAGAGTAAGAGTGCGAGACTTCTTCCACATGCTGGTTCACTCCAAAAATGACTACAAAAGCCAGGACTGGGCCTGGGCCAAGCCAGGAGCTCCATCTTCCATCCTTGTCTGACTCTTGTATGTCAGGGTCCCAAATTAGGTAATCATCTGCTGCCTTCCCAAGCACACCAGCAGGAAGCTGGATTGAAAGCAGAGGATGAGGGTCAAGTCAGTTTCAATATGGGGCGCCAGTGTCACACGCTGCTGGCTCTGGGGACATTCCTTAATTTCGTGTGTTGGTTCTGGCACGCATGGCTTTATCGACTTTATCGAAAACCAGCTACAGCCTGTGGGCGTGTTTAGCTTGCTTCCTGGTCGGGTAGTGAGTGCAGAATTCACAGTGTGATTTCTGATTGCTGCTGATTTTGCATAGGATCAAAGTCAAACTGACCCGCCACCCTTGCTGCCAAGACCCAGCCAGGGTGATACCACCAGAGCATCGATATTCACCCGTTCCAAACACCACAACCCTATTCCTAAGCAATGCCCCTTTTCATTTTGCTGTATGGGAATTTAACCCCCCGTCCCCTGCCACACACACACAGGCTGTTTCTGATAGCACCTGGGAGACTTGGAATTCTGTTAGCTGGGGTGTGGGCAGGTGATAGGCTGAGCGAGAGCCAGGTGCTAACTCCAGGACTGGGAGAAGAGCTCTACTCCTTAGCTAGTGTTCAGGGTTCAGTAAGGCAGAGTGGGTTCTCCCAGGGTTTTTTGGTCCCCTGCTCAAACTCTTAAGAGGAGCCTCCTAGACAGCTTCCCGTGGCCCTGACCTTGCATCCCATGCTATAAATTCCAAAGGCTCCTCCAAACTCTGTCTCCAGAACTGATATTCACAAAACCGCCATCCTCGTCTCTGTACTTGGTGGCCCCTTGTCAAACTGTCCCCTTGGATTCTATACAGGATCATGTGCTCTTGGACCTCCTTCCCCCTCCATCGCCCAGAGCTGCTTGACGCTCTCTGACCTCATGCCTGGGACCATGCTTGCTTCTCCCTGTCGTGGTCTGCTCAACTGGCCTCCCAACAGCCCAACCCCAGCGCCAAGCCCAGAGGAGGCTCAGCACCCGGGAAACTCAAGTTCAAATGGTACCCGGAGTAGGGGTGGAGAAGGGCACATACATTCCTTAAGTGCACATCTCGAAACCACAGAGTCCCCAGGGATTCTGTTTATCTCACCAAGTTTCAGCTAAGGGCAGTACTTCTCCTGGCAAGTAGAGAAAGCCGGCAGGGATGTGTTTTTTTGCTCAACATCAAATGCATTCCAGGCCTTATCTAATCCGGGAACCTTCTTCGAAGCAGATGCAGAGGCCATTTCTGCACTTTGGGAGTCAGAGATTGGGCAGTGGGGGGAGGCCTTGCTTTCAAACGCCAAATGCAAAATAATGGTTCTTTTGGCACGGCCAAGCTGGCTAGCAGCTGAAGACTGGGTTGACTGTTCCCAAAGCTCCCTTCAAGTCCCTGCTTACACACAGCTCAGCCACCCCACCCCAACCCCCAGAACCCAGGGCTCTAATTGCCTCTGGTTTGTTTTGCTTTGCTATCTAGAGCTGCAAACATCTCTTCAATCCTTGTCTGAGGTACGAAAAAGGCAGGTCTCAGGTTTCCTAACTGGAATTGGACGTAATTCCTGTCTTCTCCACACGAGCCAGGACAAGCTCCCAACCAGGTGGCTCAGGGTTGATCTATGGAGGGCAGCTGGGCCTCTGAGCTAGGAAAGTGAGGATTCTAAAATTGCCCATAGACTCGGCCATAAGGAAAGAAGTCAGACAACTCAGAAACAGAGTCACATTCTTGAGAAGGCTTAGAGACCAAGACTGCCCAAACGGGTAGGGCTGGAGATACCTCTTCAACCAGAAGACCCAGGAGGGGTTTTTCAACTGTCTTTTGCAAAAAGAGTGCAGTTTCTCTATTATTCTCATCTTGCTTGTTATTGGCCGCTGTTGGCCCGACCCCTCAAAACAGGAGTTGGTCTTGGATACAGCAGGGTTAAGCTGCTACCTGCAATATTGGTATCCTTATGTGAGCCTCAGCTACTCCACTTCCCGTCCAGCTTCCTGTTAATGCGCCTAAGAAAAGTGCAAAAGATGGGCTAAGTCCTTGGGTCCCCGACATATGGATGGAATTCCTGATTTTAGCCTGGCCCCGCACAGTTCTTGTGGTCATTCAGGGAGTAAACCAGCAGATGGAAGATCTCTCTCTCTCTCTCTCTCTCTCTCTCTCCTCCCTATCTGGTCCTATAAATCTGGCTTTCCAAGAAACAATAAACAGATTAGCGAGGTGGGTTTGCACCTTTTCCTGCAAAGTAGCTTAATGAGGGTGCACCACTGAACGCCGGTCCCGGGTCACTGTGAGCGGCTTCACTTGCTTTCTTCCAGGTTCCCATGCTCACAGAGACTTCCTGCAGAAAGAACTCAAAGCTGTGTAAGGCACCGAGAGGACAGAGAGCCGAACATGTGCTGTGAGGTCAGCCGTTCACTCTGAGGGCCACCAGCCAGACAGCTGGGACCTGCGGATGTAACCCTGACTCGGGAAATACCTTCCAGGGCTCCTCCCTTCAACAGCCCTGCCCTGGGAGCACCTTCTCCAGGCAAAGCTCAGACCTTGTCTGCAGCCTTGCTCGGGCTCCTTCCAGATGGAGAGGTGCAGTCACCCCTCTGTTGCTGCCTCTCACACCTACCTTCCTCTTCACTGGCCTGTGCAGCCACAGCCGCGCAAGCATCTCAGAAATGAGTTCTCAGCGTTCCCTTGCTCCCGCACCATGCCACCACAACCGATCAAAGCCCACTGCCCAGCGGCGGAGCCTCCCTGGGGAAGCACCTGCTGGAGGACAGGCTGGGCAACTGTGCACTTTTCCCTCATAGGCATTCGGACGATAATGCATAATCACGTGCTGATTGAGACACTTATTTCTACACTGTTTCCCAATAGACGGTAAGCTTGAGGAAGATGACACTTTTCTGTCTCCACTTCCCCACTCACAGCCCAGAGCCTGATGCATTCTGTAAGTCCTCACTTCAGCGGTACTTCAAAAAGTTGATTAAACAGTGGAATCCAAAGATAAGTTTAATTTGGTGCAAGGTGTTTTGAAATCCATACATAGTACACATTTTTGCAATATCCATTTCCCCTCCACCCCCAAACTTAGGTGTGTGCATATATTTGCTGGGTGAATGATCTCACAGTGGGACTAGGTCTTGGGCTAGGAAGAGAATTTCCAGGCATGTACACACATAAAAAGAAGGGATCATGAAACCTGGCAGAGAAAAAAATTGGGGATCACAACTTACTTTTCTAAAGTGGACTATTTGACTTCTTTATCTTCTTAATGAAGATAAATGAATTGGTGTGTTTAATAAAGGCCTGGAGAAATCAGAACAAACACACAAGTGTGATCATGAACGTAGTGATCTACAAGTTAACATGTCCGTTACAGGAATTGCCTAAACTATACGCATCTAAACATATCCATCCCAGTGCATAATCTGATGGCTAATAACCAAGTAGTTTCTAACTTAATAGCCTGTAGCCCTGCACCGTGCACAGGTGTCTGGGGTTGAGTTTCTGAGTTGGTATCAGCTCTCCCACCAGGGAGCTTTGGTGGTTTAGGGATTCACAATACTTGGAATTCATAGTCCAGTGTCCCCAACCCAGGTGCCTATTAAGGACTCCTCTGAGCTCCAATTGCATACAGGGGAAAAAAAATATTGTTTTGTGTGGAGAGAAAAGTGCACTGGTTTTTTGATCATAAAAATTAGAATCCAGGGCCTATGCAGTGGCTCAATAGCTAAATCCGCACGTTGCAAGTGCTGGGATCCCATAGAGGTACCAGCTCATGGCCCAGCTGCTCTACTTCCCTTCCAGCTGCCTGATAATGGTCTGGGAAAGCAGAAGAGGATGGTCCAATGCTTTGGGACCCTGCACACACCCATGAGAGACCCAAAAAGAAGCTCCTGGCTCCTGGTTTTGGATCAACTCAGCTTTGGCCATTGGGGCATTTGGGAAGATCTTACTCTCTGCCTTTCTTTTTCTCTGTAAATCGGCTATGCCTTTCTAATGTAAATAAATAATAAATAAGTGAATAAAACATTTAGAATCCAAACTCCATCTCTTCTCTCGTTCACCAAACCTGGTAGAATCTTCCTGTTTTCTCATCAGTACTTACCTCTCTGGGCTGTTACGTAACCCAGTCAAGCACTCAGAAGGAAAAAAAAAATTAATCTGAACTACTTGCCCAGGCAGGTGCAGAACAAGTCTAAAGTTGAACTGGGCTCCTTGCAAACTGTTTCACGTTTGGAGTAAAGACAATTCCTCTTTTGTCTTGTCTTTTTCTTCCTGCCTTCTCATTTAGGCTCAGTGGGAAAAAGGCAACAAGGGCTTTAGCTTTACAAATCATGATTGGCTGGGAAAGCTCCTGCTAATGTCTAAATCCGCAAGAAAAAAAAAGTTGCCCTGAGAAAACTAGTGTGGAAAATCGGCCGTGGGCTTTTTCTGAACTCTGCTGTCCCCACTGGTGTAACAAAGAACAAAGGACGGTGACTTGGTTCCCACTGATGCATACATCGGGGCAGTTGCTCTCATGCTGTCTTGGGTCATAGCCTCGAGATTGGAAAGTGGAGACAGCCTGAGATCCAAGCAAAGCCAGTCATGCTGTCAGAGAGTAGCCGGGACCTCAGCGCTCCCGCCTCCTTTTCCTGTCATGAAGTTTGTATCTCGAGGGAAAACAGCTGTCCATTCTCGGGCCAAGTGGGACATAAGCCAGCTGTTCCTCCCAGATGCCAAGAGCCAGATGCACACCCACTCGTCTCTCCCACTCCCTCAGCATCAAGTCTCAAACTTCAACGGATTTAATAATAACCGTATGGATTTGCTCAAAAAGCATCCCCCAATGTGGAACCTCCAGAGAATCCAACTCAATGAGCTCAGGTTGGCCAGATCAGTGGCTTGCTAAGCAACTACACACCTGTCCCATCCCATCTCCTCCATCCCAGGGGAGGACGTGACTGACGTGATTGGTGCCACAGCATCTTGTGGTCATCATTGCTACAGAAAAGACATTGGTGTGCTGGTAAATGCCTGACAGTCAGCCCTGGGGCTGTGCAAGCCTGGTTTGCAGTTCTGTCGACTTTGGTAGTGTAAATATTCCCTCCATGGTCAAGTTATCCATGTGGGCATCAGGACTGTGAAGTGTGGAAAAGATGGTGAAACCACTTCTTGCAAGCCCATAGGAACTGATTCCATGACCCAGTTCTGGGTGTCTCCGAGCGCTGGTGTCTGGGCCATGGCATCACAGCACAGAGGTTGCTCTTTAGCTAGGGTAGCACAGCTACTTATTCATTTCTTCCTTGCTCTTTGGGTAGTTCATTGGTGACAAGTTCCCAGAGATCTTTATGGATTTCAAACCAGAAAAAAGAAGAGGGAAGAGAAGAAAGAGGTCCAGGACAAAGACTGTCAGCATAGGATGTTGGCTTCAGTAATACTCAACATTCAGCAAGAAGGGCTTTCAAACACCTGCTTTTTCCGTCATTTGACTGACTGCCCAGCTTCCATCCACTGGATCCTACTGACCTGGAGAAGGAAGACATGCTGCTTGTTGGTGACCCGAGAGGTTGGGGGAGGACCTCCCATTCACTGGTTCATCCCCAGACTGGGACTGGGCCAGGCTGAAGCCAGGAGCAGGTAATTCAATCCAGGTCTCCATGACTGGTGCACAGAACCACTACTGGGGGCATTATCTAGAACCTTCCAGAGTGACCATTAGCAGAAAGCTAGAATCCTAGTCAAAGCCGGGTTAAGCACCCCGTCCACTTTGGAAGGCCTTGGTGGCACTTTGGGAGAGGCCACATGTGTGCCCTTGGGATGTGATTTTCACAGGCATCGTAACCATTTGAACAAAGGCAGCTTCAAGCCTGCTGTACTGTGGGTCCCATACTATAGGAACTGCTCACATGAGAACTTTGCCCGCACTTAGCCTGGAGCTCGAAGAAAGCCCACTCCTCTGAGTCATGATGGCCACGGAGCTTTCCCCGCTCATTGAATGGAAGAGGAAGGATTACAGAGAAAATGGGCCAGCTGAGAGCTTCCCCAGTGACTTTATTTATTCAACACTGAAAGCCTGAGGAATGTCTCAGAGTCTTCCAAGTGGGACCGACAAAAAAACATAAAGATTATCTTAATCTCCGTTAATTAAAGAACCTGTCCTTTATCTATTTCACCCACAAGGAAAGCTGACATCTAATGATATGTTTGCCAGCTTATGCAACAATGGTGGCCATTAAAATTTTGCACAAAGGCAAAGGCAGGCTGTATCTCAGCCTGCGGCATGTCTGCAGCACATTCACCTATAAATGCTGCAGGTCATGGAACGACCCTCACTTCCCTGAAACGGTGGCTATCGGGGTGAGGTTCATGGGTCCCCAAGACCCTATGCAAGGCTCCGTCACAAGGTCAGCATGTGCTTATACCCACTTTGCCATGTTTGACATTTCGGCAAAACTGCTGGTACCAGACTAGGATGGCAATCACAGTATTGTTCACTGCTACAAATTCACAAGAAAAAAAAATCACAGGAAAAAGAAAACTAAAGGAAGCCACTTAGGAATGTTCTAAATTAAGTGGTCAAAATTATTAATTTGATGAAACTTTGCCCAAAGCACATGCTAATTTTCCCCCTTTTGCCTGGCAAATTGGAAATGAAGCATCAGGCCCTTCGAGGGCTCCCTGCAGTAGGATATTGTCCCCAGGAAAAGCCCCTGTATGGGGACTTCACATTGTGGGCTGAACTAGCCACTGTGCAGGAACTCTCTGTGAACTCCAAAGGACTGAATAACCTGGTTACTCGGAGCTCATCATCTGGCAGGTACGTCCTCAAAAATGAACAAAGTGAGTTTGTCACATCAGGAAAGACACTGGTGACTGCCAAAATTTCTAAATTGGGGCTTCCAGCCCCAATTTTTGAAAACTCATCTCTGGCAGCGTGAACTTGACACTTACCTGACATAGCCAGAAGTTTCTGATGAGCTCAGTGGTGCTATTAGCAAATGTGAATTTTCAGTTTTCATCATGACTACATGCCAACCCAATTCAGAAGATCGGCACTGCTCAGTGTGAAGCAATATTTTCCAAATGACCCCATGCACAACATTACACAATCGGGCATGGGCAAAAGATCATTTGAAGTGCAAGCCAGACCAAATGGGTTGTAACGTAACTGAGTACAAAAAGTTCACGGCTATAGTTTCAGATTCCACATTGCAAGTAACCTTTAATAAATTCCCATTTGTCCAGTTTGGGTAGAGTGTCGAGAAAGAATAACCACAACGATCTGAAAAGACTATTACTGCAGTCCTCTCCTTCCCAGGAACCCATCTCTGTGGGCTGGATTTCCTTCACACACTTCAACCAAAACAACATTATCACAGCTGATTGAATGCAGAAGTAGATATGAGCACCCAGCTGTCTTCTATTAAGCCAGACATTAAAGAGATTTGCAAAAAAATGTAAAACACTGTTACGCTTCTCATTAAGTTTTGATTGTTTTTGGACAGCACGGCTATTTTTACAACAGAATATGTTATTTTAAAACTTTAAGTGACTGAACAAATTGTAGTCAATTTCAAAATATTAATTTATGCATAAAGCAAATACATCATTAGATGAACTAGCAAACACATATTAAATACTTACGTCTTTGCTTTTGAAACAGTGTGTTATTTACATATCTGTTGCTGCATGATCAAGTCCCCCAAACGTGTTGGGGTAAAACAATGATAATCGTTGGTTAGATCTCCACATGCTGTGGCTGCAGCGTTTCAGGAATGGCTAGGTTGTATAGTTCTCTGGCTCCCTGGGTTGTGACTGTCGGAAGGTCCACC